AGCTGCAAACAGCCATCATCCCCTCATCCAGGCTGGCCAGGCACCCCAGTGGGGACCCCCACCCTGAAGGGGGTGTGACCAGCTGCAAACAGCCATCATCCCCTCATCCAGGCTGGCCAGGCACCCCAGTGGGGACCCCCACCCTGAAGGGGGTGTGACCAGCTGCAAACAGCCATCATCCCCTCATCCAGGCTGGCCAGGCACCCCAGTGGGGACCCCCACCCTGAAGGGGGTGTGACCAGCTGCAAACAGCCATCATCCCCTCATCCAGGCTGGCCAGGCACCCCAGTGGGGACCCCCACCCTGAAGGGGGTGTGACCAGCTGCAAACAGCCATCATCCCCTCATCCAGGCTGGCCAGGCACCCCAGTGGGGACCCCCACCCTGAAGGGGGTGTGACCAGCTGCAAACAGCCATCATCCCCTCATCCAGGCTGGCCAGGCACCCCAGTGGGGACCCCCACCCTGAAGGGGGTGTGACCAGCTGCAAACAGCCATCATCCCCTGTGTTATAAGACAAGAATGGCTGCCAAATAAATGAACAGCTAGAAGAAAAAGTTCTTAGAAATTTAAAATATAATTAAAAATAAATAAATAGGGTAAAAGAAGAGTAAATAGAGCTGAGGACTAGTTAGTGATCTGGAATATAAAGTTATGGAGTTCTCTCAGAACACAGAACAAAAAGAGAGATATGTTAATAGAGTGAGGATGAGACCCAAGAAATCTAGCATCCATTGTACAGGTATTTCAAAAGAAGGAAACAGAAAGAATGGTTTGGGTAGAGTCATGGTGTGGATAATAATATGAAAATAAATAGGGATTTCAGAAGAAAGTAGAAATAATGGAAGGGAAAGAAGTAACAAAAAATTAGAGAATACAGTTTCCGTAAGATGAAGGAAGATTTGACTCTTCAGAATAAAAATATGCAATGAATGTTTACTTAAGAAAAGGGGGGGGGGAAAGGCACATTATTAAAATGTTCATACTACCCAAAGCAATCTACAGATTCAATGCACTCCCCATTAAAATACCAATGGCATATTTCAAAGATCTAGAACAAACTCTCCAAAAATTCATTGGGAATAAAAGAAGACCCCGAATAGCCACAGCAATCCTGAGAAAGAAGAACAAAGTTGGAGGGATCACAATACCAGATATCAACCTATATTACCAAGCCACGGTTCTCAAAACTGCCTGGTACTGGCAAAAGAACAGACATATAGACCAATGGAACAGAACAGAGAACCCAGAAATTGACCCAAGCCATTATGCTCAATTAATATTTGACAAAGGAGGCAAGAGCATACAATGGAGTCAAGACAGTCTCTTCAATAAATGGTGCTGGGAAATTTGGTCAGATACATGCAAAAAAATGAAACTAGACCACCAACTTACACCATACACAAGAATAAACTCAAAATGGATAAAGGACTTAAATGTAAGATGGGAAACCACAGAAATCCTACAAGACTCCACAGGCAGCAAAATAGCAGACGTATGTTATAGCAATATCTTTTTTT